ATCTGGCTATACCAATTTCAGCAACCAGACAAAGTGCGTTGTTTCCCATAACTACGACACATTTGGAAATAATTTCATATTTAGTAAACAAGTCCTTATTATGACACATATGAAACATACATGCTGAATCAAGAATCCAATCATTCTCTGGTTTAGACTCGACGTCAGAAATAGCCAAGAGATCTCCATCAATGTTCTTCATGAGGTCTGTTTCGCCTGAAATATTTGATTGCTTCCCATATTGGCTTTTAGCCAACCTTTCTTTATTCTGCATTTTGAAGCAATCCTTCTTCATGTGCCCCTTCTTCTTGTAGCAATTATAAATCTGATTATTGAACTTAAGCTTCGATATGCCCCTTCCGCAACCACTATGAGCAACCAAACCTTCTCCATCTCTAGCCTCAGAAGCCAAATGATTCATCTTCTCTTTTGAATATAAAGTATCGTACATCTCCTCTGTGGTGAGAGTTTCACGACTAGATAAGATCGTGTCTCTAAATGAAGAAAACGAAGTAGTTAACGAACACAATAGGATTAATGTCAAATATTCTTCATAATACTCTATTTCCAAAATTTTCAAATCAGCGGCGATTTCTAGTCAGGTGACCTTCCAATGATCCTCTTTCTGTCATTCAATGACAATATAAACGTTGCTTAAGGTTTAACTTGCTTGTCAAACTTTTAGTCATGCACATTTTTTCCAACTTCAACTATAAAGCAGTTTCTGAAACCTAATTCAAAACGTCTCGAAGAATAGTATTTGATAGATGAAGATAAATGCGAGAAACTGTTTTCTTATCCTTCCATAATTTCTCCTCTTCGGTCAAAGTTGGAGGTATCTTGTCAATTCCCAACAACCATTATCTAAATCCTATTGTGCGAGTACTACATGCATCTTAACTTGCTATAGCAAAAATCTAATGCTCCGATCCAAAGTTGGAATATCACACTTCATGGAAACCATTACGAACAAAAATCTCGAACAAATAAAATCTTGCGCTCTGCGAAACTTCTGAACACGGCTCTGATACTACTTGTAAAACAAACAAGATACCGAAATTACTTTGATACCACTTATTGTGAAACCAACCACCGAATTGAGACGTTGAAGTTATATAGCACAATTATAAAGTATTTGATCAAGGAAAAGAATAATAAAGACAAAAAAATATGGCAGATGAATTAAAAGATTTTATTAATTCAAAAATAATGGAGAAGGGAAAAAATTACAATGGATCTTATAATTATAGTAATCTATTTTTTCATACTTATGAAATTGTATAGAAGAGCCTAATATTTTTAGGAAACATATAAGAAATTTCCAAAACCTCTTAATAGTGTTGTTGATGAAGTAGGATGTCAAAAAATAGAATTCAAAACGAAAAAGAGAAAAAAAAGCGGAAAACCCGAAACATGTGGGATTTGCAATTTCCCTCAAGAGTCAATAACCCAGAACAAGATTTAGAAGATCAAATATCTTCTAAATCAGAATGAAGATGAACTTTCAAGAGAGAAACAAGAGAACCCAAAAGTTAGAACCATAGTGAATGAACATAAGTCAAATTGTGTAAGCAATAGACNGAAACGAGAGAACCCAAAAGTTAGAACCATAGAGAATGAGCAGAAGGCAAATTGGGTAAGCAATAGACCCACAATCCAACAAATATGTGCGTCATATGGAAGCCACCAGAAGGTCAGCAAATTCAATAGTGAGAAGGTGACACTTGACAATATCCCACGCATCCAATGGTGAGGAGATGAAACTTGACAATTTCCCATGCAACCAGCTCACTGACAAAACCGTGAATTGCAAACATGCTTTCCAGCCAATTTAGCAAACTGAATTTTGAACACCTTTTTGCCTTAACCGATTTCAATTGTCAATGGTCAATGTTCCAGTCAACATCCACATCATTCTGGCCCATTTTGATGACCAATTTTCAACCAAATTCAATTATGAAACTATCATTTTGAATAGTTGTGACTCAAGTAAAATACGGTGATTCAAATAAAAGGTTGTGACTCTTTGGAAGGTTGTTTGACAATATATAATTGAGACTGTTGATTTCTAGTTTGAAATGTATAAAAAGATAGAATTGTCCTTCATCTTCTTCATTAAACCATTATTTTCATACATATTTGCATTTCATCTTTTTCAATTTTTGACTTGTTTTCTGTAATCCATATATAGAACACGAGCCTCTCGATATTGACTTCTTCTCTCCTTAATTTTTTGCATTATTTTTGATAGCGAGTGACACAAATAAAATATTCAGGTTCCATTATACCCTGGAGGCATTTTGCTATCCCGTGTGCATCATCGAAGTGTGAACAAATATCATCTTAAGAAAAGTGCAAACAGGTGTCTTAGAGCCAAGTTTCTTCATCTAAAAGTTCAATGTGATCTTCTTCAACTTTATCTGCTATTTGCATCAACAACCATTGCGAATATAGCGCCCGATATTTTAAGTTTTGCAATGGCACCACTTTCTCCCCTACATTTCATGGTAGATTTTATAAAGTGGCAGCAGTTCCATAGAGAACTTTTGAAGATGGCAAACAAATTGCATTTCTTGTTAAAAACGTTACATGTAGTTTATATTTTAACTATTGCAAAACTTGAAGCGAAGGAAGATGAAACTTTACTTGGCCATAGGCACATCAAAAGTGGAGAAAGATGACTACATTTGCAAAGAACATATTTGCAACATCATGTTAGACGTCTTGTGTGGTCACGACAATAAGACGACAGCCAAGGAAATTTAGGATGCTTTAGAAGCCAAGTACATGTTCAAAGACACTACACGTAAGAAGTTCTTAACTTCAAAATTATTTTCAGATCAGATGGTTGAAATTCGAAAAATATTGCAACGATTCCATGAAATTGTTCATATTTACAATCTATTTTGGCAATATAATATGAACATGGATGAATCTATTAAGACATCATTTAAACTTCCATCCACTAGGAAAGACTACAAGAAAAGTCTAAACCAATCAAAGGATGATATCTCCATTGAAGAATTCGATCATTGATAGCTTAAATATTATTGAGAATAATTTTATGAATGTAGTTTTATATGTTTTTTGATTATTTTAGGAGAAAACTCATAATTGGACGAGAAATGATGAAAAGAAGCAATAATTGACCAAAAAGGATTAAGTTGGACAGATTCTAGAAGTTGGGGACCAAGAAGGTATGTTTGAAAGTTGAAAGACCTCAATTGCAATATCAGGACTCAATCTAGAGAAAAAAGTAAACACGGACCAATTTGGAAAATCCTAATTGGATTAAAATTATTATTCCGTATCACCTTGGAAGTCTATAAATAGGTTTCATTCAATAAGAGAGGGAGACTAGGGATGCCGTCTTGAGGCTAAATTACACATCCAAGCACATAAATTCCTCAATATTTGTCCTTGAATTTGGAGTTTGAAAATTGAAGAATACAATTGGCCTGAAGATGTATAACCAATCAAGGAAAATTTGAAGATCTTTGTTGGATTTTGGGTGCCAAAGAATAATAAATTAATTGGATTAATTTATTTATTCATTGTATTGAATCCGACGATATTTTCATCATTTTGTTATTTAATTTCAATACTATAATTGGAAAATTTTCTTATTCTTAGGATAAACGACGTAGCCTACGTGAATTTTTATTTAATCTCATATAGCTCCATGCCGTTAGAATGCATCTTGCATGAGTTGCCTCATAACTAACCGTAACAGCCTCGAACCTCGGAGGCCCATCTATTGCGGCTAAAAATTGGCTGCCTCTCATTGCCACAGAACCAAGAAGTGATGCTCCTACAGTAAGTTACGTTCCTTCGGTGGCTTATGTCGGCAAGGCTTTACTACATTTTCAATGCCTTGGGGAATAATGGTCGATGAGGCAATGGAATGTGCTAAGAGTGTCAACAAGTCGAGCCGAGTCGAGCCGTGAGTCGAAACCTTTTGCTCGGGCTCAAATTGAATAAAAATGGTTTGAGCCTTTTTTGGCCTAAATCGAGTCGAACTTTTTTCGAGCCAGGAGCCGGCCCGACCCGACCCGACTTGACTCGGCTTTTTTCTAGCCGAGTCACAAACCGTTCGAGTCGACGAGCCATATTGACATCCCTAGAATTTGCCTTCATCGCCTCTAAAGTAAAGGTAGAAGAGCAATGTGCTTTAGTTCAACAGCCTCCAAAATGCTCGTGTGATATTTCTTTTAACTGGCAGTCACGTGACTTGTCACGTAGATAGCAGCTTAAGAAATTTAATTAACATTTTCTGGACATGAAATTTAGGAAAAAGACAGGTTCCTAAGTTTTTTTATAAACAAGGTAAACGTACTTAACTACTCCTAGCTGTCCTTGGACATTCCCTACCATTGCCAGCAAAGATCTTAGAAAATACATATGCCCATTTCTCCTTCTGAGATCTGCTCATGCCAGTTGACCGCCATTGTTTGATCGAAATAAATTAGTATTATAATTCTAAAAGTGCCTGGCTTTTGGTGTCTTGTTCATCACTGAATCGCACACACAACAGGATTTAGTTACCCTCTTGTTTCTTTGTACAGCTGTTCTACTCTCTCTTTCTCATCGTTTCATTGCAATTTGAAAGCAATTTTTATCATTTCATAAATTTTAGCTTTGAGGCTTCTACTCTTTTTGGTTCAAACAAAAGGGTGTTTAATTTATTCGACGTTTGTCTGGGAAAAAAGATTAGATTTTGAAGTTAAGAGATTATGCATTTTCTTTAAAACCTTCTGTTGACTTGTATTTCTGGGTAGGGAAAACTGGAATGAAATAATATGTATATTCTTGAATGATAGCAAAGGTTCCCTAATCCACGAGCCAGACGGAGATTGGTCTCAAGCGCAAAAGGCAGAATCCACGAGCCAGACGGAGATTGGTCTCAAGCGCAAAAGGCAGAATC